GGCATGATCATACAGTACGTAGTCCCTGAAGAGGACAATACCTCCTGGTCTTAATACCTGTCAGTTTGTTTTGAAAGCAGAAATTAATTACTTCACAACACAAAGAAAGTGTGCAAAAACACATGAAAAATCACTTTATAAGTTATAAGTTTACTTGTGTTTAACAAAATGTCGATGCACTGTGATAGAGTTTCTTTCTTACAAAATGTGATCAGCAGTACCTTATAAATTTGTTCCAGGGCTTTCTGCATCTTGTCAGGATGAATTGCAGACAGAACAAAGATCAATGTGGCTACATCCACCGTCTCCACTTGTATGGTGGCCTGGAGATCGTCCTTAGTGAGGTCACACTGAAACGCAAGGCATCGCTCGGTGCAATACAAGGCATTTTGCTGTAATAATAATAATAAATAATCATAAATCAAGGCAGAATGCATGCAAAACAGTGTATGAATGTGCAACATTATAAGACTGGAAAAAGGTTGACCAGATGGATGTAGGTTTTTAGGGAATAGTTTGAATAGTTTAAAAAATGAACATTTGCTGAAAATGTACTCGCCCTCAGGCCATCCACGATGTAAATGAGTTTGTTTCTTCATCAGGACAGATTTGGAGACTTGCTCACCAATGGATCCTCTACAGTGAATGGATGCCGTCAGAATGAGATTCTAAACAGCAGACATTAATTGTTGTCACGTGTCAATTAATGTCTTGTGAAGTGTAAAAAACAGCATGTTTGTCGAAACAAACCCACCATTAAGGCATATTAACCTCAAACCCTCACTTCTGGTCAAAATATCAGTCCATAATCCAATTTTCTCCTCTCACATCAAAATACATCATATTTATTTAGAACCATTTTGGACTGTTTTCACTTGTAAACAGCGGTTGATCTATGCTTATTTTTCTTCTGATTCAGATGAGATGACTTTTTCACTAGAGGAAGCAATATTATCGATAGAGGACTATTTTAAAATCTCGATAAATGTATTTCAAACACAGCTTTTCACATCACAAAATATTAATTGATGGACTGGAATTGTGTGGATTACTTGCGCGTTATTGTGATGTTTTTATCAGCTGTTTGGACTCTCATTCTGACGGCATCCATTCACTGCAGAGGATCCATTGGTGAGCAAGTGAAGTAATGCTAAATTTCTCCAAATCTGTTCTGATGAAGAAACAAACTACACTTTGGATGGCCTGAGGGTAAGTACATTTTCAGCTAATATTAATTTAGGGTGACCTATTACATTAAAGTGAGAGGAAGCACAACTTTGTCACTTTTACCTTGACAAACTCAACAGCTCATGGAGAGAAGTCACAGGCATAGATGAAGATATTCAGATCCTCTTCCAGAAGAGGGAAAATACAGTTTCCAACCCCACAGCCAGCCTCCAATAACACCAGCTTCTGCCCCTGAGACTGAAAGAATAGATTTAATTTGCATTCATCAATACAAACTCAAACATGTTATAGCAAATGCATGGAACATCTCTTACCTCTCTGCAGTTTTTCAGTTCATCAAACTCTCTGGTAATCCAGTGCCTGTCTTTGAAAAAGTTAGTCGTGTTTCTTTTATAAAATAAGTCCCAGTTTTTCTGAGCATCCATTTCGAGTTTCTGCTGCTTAAAGTCCGACACTCGGTCAGTCCTGAGTTTCTCCAGCTCTTCTGGGTTCAGTGTCCTTTCACTCAGACAAGTGGACTGATGGGGAAAAGCAGGGCTGGATTCCAGCGAGTCCAACTCACCTGTCACTGACATGACTGTTTGAGCTCCTGTTTGAGTTTAGGATTAAAACTAAGACAACGACTTCAAATTAGATGCTGTGAAGTTTTACTATCATAAAAGTCACAGCACTTTAAAATGTTACACGTAACTAACCACCTCAATGATAAAACGCAAACAAAAGGTAGTTTCAGGTGCTTACCTGTACTTAAACTACCTATATATTAAGCGAGCTAAATGATTAAGAGTAAAATATTCGCATGTTTAATAAGAAACTCACTGCTTTAAAACGTCGCATGTTGTCGTTCTACTCATAGATATATAAACAACATATCTAAGGTTCTACTCGGCATAAGCTATTGCTTCTTCTTCTTCTTATGATGTTTAATGGCGGTTGGCAAACCAGCTTTTGGTGCATATTCCGCCACCTACTGGGATGAAGTGTGAGGCGCTGATATCAAAGTAGTAAAGGAATGAATAAAAGCAAGCATCACAATAAATAAATACATATACAAGTCAACAACAGATGAAACAAAGCTTAATTCAAACTTATTGTTCTAACAACCATGTATTTACAGATGGTGAACCCCACATCCTACTGCCATCTCAACACAGCTGAGACCGTTCTGCTGCTGCGCTGTGCTTCACAATCTTGCTCTTCTCAATGGGGACATCGTTGAGCAAGAGGATGAGGAAGACCATGATGACGGCTCTCTGAAACACACAACCTAGAAGCAAGAGCAGGGGAACACATGTGGGACAATCTGGCTGCCACTGTGTCTGCTCCAAACATTTGTGTGCTGCTTTCCATGAGCACGACTACCTGCAAAACATTTAAACGGAGTTAAACATTTTACAGTTCATGTTGTCAGCTTTCCATTTCTTGCCAAATTTCATGTTTACAATTACATGCATTTTTTTGTTGTAGCTTTATTACTTTTGTAGTGGGCTAAACCACTGAACTGGTAAGCAAAAGGTTGCTGATTCGCAACCACCAGTGTGTCCTTGAGCAAGGCTCGTTTCTCCAGGTTGCTCCAGGGGATTGGGGATAAATAAACATTAAGCACTGTTTCTACCATTGATAATAAATCAGCATATTAGAATGATTTATGTAGGATCATATGACACTGAAGACTGGAGTAATGGCTGATGAAAATTCAGCTTTGATCACAGAAATATATTAAATTTTAACAGATGTTCACATACGCAAAGTTGAAGTATTTATTTCCTCAGCAACCAGCACGGATCAGCTCCAGGCATGAGAAGCGATATCGTCCTCTTTTGGAAGGCCAAACAAAGTAGTTTCACTTTCACAACGAAGCACACATATGTAGATTTGTTTGTTTACATGACTTACATTCATCTAAAGCAGTGTTGACAACAGTGAATTCTACATAATAGCACACATACATCACTCAGATGCCTGTTTCATGTCTATTAGATGTACTCATCTGCAATACTAATCAAAGATGATCCTGTCAGATGTTAAATAGACATTTAGTAATTGTCTTTAAGATGTATATATGGTTAATGTAAATCCACTTTTGAGACGTATGTAAACCACTGTATTGGTATCAACTATGATATGGGGGGCAGTGTTGCCAATTTAGCTACTTTGTAGCTAGATTTAGCGACTTCCCCGCCCCTTTTGAGACTTTTTTCAAAAGACTTCAAGTTACGCCCCCTTCTTCAAGTTACGCCCCTCTCTTGCAGTCCGCAGACAGACACTCTTGACCACATGTGACGACTCCGGGCTGGACTCCGTGGAGCTTTGTCCACGGTGAAAGCCGATCCGGTGATCCACAGCGCAAAGCAGTTTTAGCTACTTTCAATTGAAAGCAGTTGGCAACACTGATGGGGGCCAGATTCTTGTAGGTGGAAACATTTCAAACCTATTATGATAACATTGTAACCTTCTAAACAAAACAACAAGGGAAGGAGACTTCAGAAAACATTTTAGAACAGAAATTTATAGCACAAAATGTTTTTTTTTTTTTTTAAAGTGCCCATTTATCCTCTTATTACATGTATGTTTCTTTTCTGAATATATGTATTTATACAACTGGAATTCTTACAAACTCATTTATCCTTAATATTCTTAAAGGCCCATTGTTATTGCTGATGTAATTTAGCAGCATCTTAGAAAAGTGGTGTATAACAATATAAACATAAATGATAATTTTACCAGTCAATTGTTTGGAATAATCGATATTTGTTTGTTTTTAAAAGCCTCTTATGTTCACCAAGGCTGCATTTATTTGATCAGAAATACAGTAAAATCAGTAATATTGTGAAGTATTATTACAATTTCAAATAACTGTTTTCTATGTGAATGTACTTTAAAATGTAATTTATTCTTGTGATGGCAAAGCTGAATTTTCAGCAGTCATTACTCTTCAGTATCACATGTTCCTTTAGAAATCATATTAATATGCTGATTTGATGCTAAAGAAACATTTTTCATTATTATCTGTTTTGAAAACCATTTTTACTGCCTAATATAGAGACTATAAGAGACCCTTATATCTGTAAGAGACAAAGGTTAAAAAAATATATATATATTCCAAACTATCCATTTGAGTATTAATACTATTATTCACAGAGAAATTTAAGTGCAGGTTTTACTATTTAAATGTCCATAATTACAAATTATGGAAAATATCACAGATTTGTATCTTGAAACAGTGATATGTATTACCAATCATTTATGGCTAAGCTACTGTTGTGTTTGTTGTATATGCATGCTTGTTGTGACAATAAATTACAAACGAATACAAACTCAATATTGTTTATTTGACATACAGGTGCTTTTGATTTCTGGTCAGCTGGCTTCAATGGAAAGCTTGTTCCATTTAGGAAATCCTGTTTATATAGACAGGCAAATCAACACTTTGTTCGGAGAAAACTGAACAAACGTTACTAAAACGTTGCAGCGAGAGTGTTGTTGTTCATCCAGTATGAAGAAAGCCAGTTCATTAGCCATTTACACCAATCAACATGCAGTCTCTCAGCCTCTGGCGGCAGGCAATGTCCGCGGTGGCCAGTAAGCATGCTCATTTTTAATTTACTCAGCCCAAAAAAATACAGATGTTTATACAACAACTCTACTTTAATGTCTCAAAAACCTACATTCAAACTAGGGCTGCACGATTAATCGCATGCGATATTTAACGCGCATCTTGTCAGAAAGCCGGTTCTGTAATCAGCGGTAAATCTCCATCACCTGCGTGCTTTCACATTGAGCAGCATTAACTACACAGAGCCGTTATCGCATGCGATTAATCGTGCAGCCCTAATTCAAACCATGATACAGCGCTGTACCTGGACCCCCTTAAAAAAAACAAAAACATTCCACAGATCATCTGACATGCCCGGCCCCACGTTACACAGTTCAGCCTCAATCCAGCACCAGACCAGGCGCTAGGGGGGTGAAGGGTGCCCTCTGAGGTTTATGGGGCATCCTCAATGCCTGCAATGGTGTGGATGACGAGCGCCCCCTCTCTCATGTGCATATACAGTATACATTTAAATTATACAGGTAGCAGCAACACCCCCTCGGCGAGGGGTTAAGAGGGTGAGGGGGTGACATGGCCTGATAGGGGAAAGAAAGGCAGAGGAGCAGTGAGGAGCAGCAGCTATTTATACTGTTCCAGCGTCTCTGCTCTGGTCCCTCCGGCGACGGTGCTCTGTTTTGTTCCGGCTTTCTGAATCCTCTCGGTCGATCGTCTCCTTCTCTCGTTCTCTCTTCCTCTCTCGACGGGCCTCGGCGTTCTCTTTCTCCTGTAGATTGAAGTGTTTTTTCTTCTCTCCCCGCTGCTGACCTTTCGGCTTACCTGTGAGGACAAATGGCGACAGCATAAGGCATTTTGCAACAAGTATTCTAGTAAATATAAAGTGTTTTTTTTTGTCCACCAAGTAAAAATCTGATTACTTAGAGAAGTAATAGTACATGCTGCCTCAAAAAAATTGCAAAATTTGAGGCACATTACTATTCTTGTATTCAGCAAGGATGCATTAAATTGATTTATATATTTGATTCTAATTCAAATAAACACTGTTTATTCATCAAAGAATCCTGAAAACATGTATGATGGTTTCCACAAAAATACGTTTCTTGAGCACCAAATCAGTATATTAGAATGATTTCTGAAGGATCATGTGACACTGAAGACTGGAGTAGTGATGCTGGAAATTCTGATTTGCCATCACAAGAATAAACTACGTTTTAAGAAAAAGAAGAATAAATTACAAATAAATCACAAAATATATTCAAATGGAAAACTGATATTTTAAATTGTAATAATATTTCTAAATATTACTGAATTTACTGTGTTGTGTTCAAATAAAAGCAGCCTTGGTTAAGAGACTTCTTTCAAAAACATTAAAAAATACACAGAACAAGCAACTTACATGAAAACGTGTACGGTTTGGGTTGGGTTATTTGGGATGCTTATGAGTAATGTTTTTAAACACCACAGTGTTTACACTTTCCAGGAAAATTACTTATAGTGTTTTTGCACATTAATCTGGGATAAGAGAAAGTATTGTAACAGGAAGAAGTACACACACAATATGAATAATATCACGCTGACCACTCAGAGTTTGGCAGGCATCTTGCTGTGCAGGCGTGTTGAATCACTCTATCATTCTATTAATCAGGCTTTAGTGATTTTCCCATCATCCCTCATCTCTGTTTGGCTCCAGGTGGCATTACTTACTCAACCGAAGTTGATCATTGTTCTTAATTTTCAGCTGTTTTGGTTGGGAGACATCACTTCGGCAAACATCACTTCCATTTATAAGTATTTTTTATAGATTATTAAGAGTTTGATGGAATCCAGGATGAAGACCCATTTATGAAGTTGTGAAACAGCAGAACCTTCTGGTGCAATGTGTAACTGGTTGTGTCTGGTCTACCACAAGATGACAGTCTTGTACAGCAACTTTTTTCAATTTCATTCTGTCTTTCACACTGTCAGGTGATGGTTGATCAGTGTTTTAAAGGGATATTTCACCTAGAAATGAGATTTCTGTCATTATATTCTCACCCTCTCATTCCAAACCTGAATGCTTTTAGTGACATTTCAAGCTAAACTAAAATAAAGTATTCTAGAAATAAAAAACTCCTAAAATGACAAAAGCACATAATAAAATTGTTACCTGAATTAAAAAAATAAAAGCTAATTCAAAATATTAATGTATATTATAATTGTATATCAATCATTTTAAAATAACACTGATTACGAGTTTCTGAAACCGTATGATGGATGACAATGAATCAATCCTAGTGTGGAAGGATATGGTTGGAATCACTTTCAGAACTTTTTTTTTTTCCAGCTGATGAGTGATAAAATCATTGACAGCCAATCAGAATCCATCCTGCTTTAAAGAGCTCAAGCATTTAAAGTAGCAACTACAGTGTGTGCTTATAATAAACAGAATGTTACTGTGCACTGGTGTGGACGCTAGTTAGCATATTAGTTATCTTTATAGTTATCATTCTTGGTGTTAACTCGCTTTTATTCTTTCAGAAAGAAGTGTTTTGGCCCTTTTTTGACCAATTTGGCCACTATAAGTGTCGTTGTACAGAAAAGTGAAGATTCTTTAAATATTCTCCAAACAATAACAGCATATGGGTTGAGAACAACATGAGAGTGAGTAAATTATGACAGCGTTTTCATTTCTGTGCCAACTAGACAGCAGAAACGCAAAAAGGTGGGGGTGACCCATCAAGTGCAGAGTCAGAGAACTTTATCAGCATTGCGCTCTTGAGCAATCACTCCGGTTTCTTCCAGGAACACTATTCCTGAAATTAGTGTACAGTACGTCTCTTTGGAATAAAACTGTCAAGAAGAACAACCAAGGTGAAGCCACCCAGCTGAACATTTTACACCAGAATAAGCGAACAACCGATAAGCTCATCAAAAATAGAAAGACTTCAAATGAAAATTCTGTTTATATTACTTTATCTTGCCGTTGCTTAACAATCACGGCTAGCCAATTTCCATTATTGTCAGAGGCTTATCGGTGGGGCATGGATGAGGATCGGAAAAGCGCTGAGGTGGACACCCCGCCCCCCCGGACTCTCTCCGGACTCCCTGCCTGCTGCGACCCACACTGACCCACACATTCATGGGGTCCAGCCAAGGCGATAGGGGGCCATTGTAGCCCCGGCTGTCGAAATAAACTTGCCCATGAAGATGCACGACTATTGTGTTGTGAACGAAACTAGTTCAGGAGGATGAAGTGAAATCCCCTCCACCTCCCGCAGGCTTGAATCTGCTGTGATTGTACTGTGCATTATGAACAGGCTGACTCATGTACGGTGTCTGACCAAGCAAAACACATACACATTTCGCTCGCTGTCATCACCTCCCCTCTCGCCGTCCCGTCTCTTTAAACACAGGAAGTTCCCTCTGCGTACACTGTTGCCTTTGTCGTAATGATTTGGAGATCAATGGATTAGGCGTAATCCTCTGCTTTTCCCATGAACCAAGGCGTAACATGACCAGAGCTCTGTGGTGATTATTTTGGATATGTTTACTGGCACCCTTTCAGAGCTGGAAGGCTGTCAAGTTTTTCAGTAAACTGTCATACGACGATTTGGATACAAGCGATTTCCTCAGGGATGGAACATGTTCTTGAGCATCTGCTCACCACCGCTGAAGCAGATGCAGTTGTTGAGGAAAATTTCATGGCTCAGAGGTTGCTCTTTCAAAGCTCAGACACAAGACCTAATGGAGTTAGTCAATTTTGACATGAATGAGACATACAGTATAAATACAGTGTTAATTTAATACGGGTAGCATTGCTCAGATAATTTGGTCTTGCAGGAATAATATTATTGAAATATATGACATCATATCGAAAGCTTTGACTTTCGATCTTAAGCACGTTGTGCAGTGTTTGTGACATTGTTCTCTCTTGAACTCTAGATGAGACCTATCTCAGGAGCAACATCTGAGAAACTGTAAAGTCTCAACTGGAACGTCTCCATTTGTTCTCCATTTAATCTGATTGCTATCCAAGAGAAACGATTGAGATATCAAAGAGATCTCTTGAGACTGAGATATCAGAGATATTCCTTTAGTTATGGAAGCCTTTTTCTGCCTAAGGGTAAAACTATATTTAAAATATTAAAAAGGTAGATAGAGTTTAAAATGAGTCACAATATGAGACCTAAACTCATCATTGTGAGGTATACACTACTGTACAAAAGTTTGGATTGGTAAAATTTTTAATGTCTTTGAAAAAATCTCATGCTCACCAAAGCCGTATTTATTTGATGAAAAATACAGTTACAACAGTACTACTGTGAAATATTATCAAAATGGAAAATAACTGCTCTCTTTCAATTAAAAATGTAATTTAGTTCTGTGATGGCACAACTGAATTTTCAGCAGCCATTATACTCCAGTCTTCAGTGTCACATGATTCTTCAGAAAATGTTCTAATATGCTGACTTGGTGTTCATGAAACTTTTCTTATTATTAACAGTGATGAAAGCACTTGTGGTGCTTAATATTTTTGTGGAAACCATGATAATTCTTATTTGATGAATAGAAAGTTCAAAAGAACAGAATTTATTTGAAACTGAAATATTTTGTTTAATTATACATTTCTTTACTGTCACTTTTGTTCAATTTAATACATCCTGCTGAATAAAAGTAGTAATTTCTTTCAAAAAAATCTTACTGACCCCAAACTTTTGAGTGATAGAATAAAGTGCAATTATGAGCAATAAAGTTTTAAAATAAATTGTTTTACTCTGCGACTATAAAGGGCTTCCAATTAAAGTTAAATCCATGCACAAGTTGACAGGTGCTACAGCAGATTTACAGCTAAAAATAGCCACATGATAATGGATCTATTCATTATTTCTGGATGAATCAATGGATTGCAGTTCCATCCTCCTCTAAGATATGTTGCAAGCCTGGAATGGTTTGGAACGAGTTTGTCTCATAGTTGTGTCCATCTAGATGTTTCAACATAGGTGAAATGAGGAGTCATCTGGCTCTGATTACACATTATTCTTGAAAGAGTGATTGAGAGGGGAGAAAAGGAGGAGATCTTAGAAGAGGAGGGAGATGAGGGGGTGAAAAGTGTGTCAGGACAGATGGAAGAATGTGGGGCATAACTGCTGCACAGTCAGTAAAAGGTGAAACGCTCTAAAATCAACCCTGACAACCCAAATCGTCCCAGTTTGCTGCTATTAAGGACACAGAGGTGGAGATGGTTGAAATGGGATATGATGGTGCAGTGGGGCACAGTTTCACTAATGAACCACGGGGGTGGGATGGGGTGGGGTGGAGGGGGTCACATCCTCCCCGGCAGGCGTGCTGTCGTCCGGTGGCTTTTGGGAGGAGCCAGGCGGGGATTAAGGGCTCTGGCTCGTCCCACAGGAGGAATGCCTGGGCTTTGAAGGCCCAGTATAGCTGCTCTCCGTTAGGGAGGTTGGTGCTGGTGTGCAGAGCAGATACAAGCAGAGCTGCATACAGAGGCTAAGAGTTCAGTGGACAATTGAGCCACACACACACACACACACACACACACACACACACACAACGATGTTAGGATGCCACATTCTGCTCTTACATAAAAACTAAAACTCACAATGTTATATGAGCATTTATGCACAAACACAAGTTTATTTTAATTTCTTTGTGGGGACTTTCCATAGACTCCTTTACATTTTGAAATAAACATCAAGTATATTTAAGTATATTTATCAAATATACTTGATGTCTACAATATAGGTAAAGCCTACACACACACACACACGCACGCACGCACGCGCACACACACACACACACACACACACACACACACACACACACACACACTC